AGTTATATGCGTTGCACTCTTTTTTTCTTTACCAAGTTTTTGTCCCACTTGGGTTTTTCTTGGAAAGGTTTTTAATGTGGCAGATTGTGAAAAATAGCATATCGTGTACTCTTTTTCCTTTGCTGATTTTATTTCCCATTAGATTTTTTTTTGGCAAGGTTTTAATGAGGCGCGCAATAATATCCAAGGGGGTGTTACAAAATGGACATTACTACATGAGAATGTTACAAATGTACATTACTAGGCTTTATCACACTTTATAGGAGATTAAGTAGTGTAACATAATTTAAGCCATCCATAACTGCATAACATTAACATGATTTAAGCCATTCATTTTTTACAACACTTCCCATTGGATGACTATCCACTGTGTATATGCCTCCTTGAAACCTTGCTAAAAAAAATTCAATGAAATAAAAAACTTTAGCAAAGAAAAGAGAGTACAATATTCATAGTTAACATACCACCTTTCATCGAGAGGCTTCAAGCAGATAAGGAGCATCACTGAAGCCCCAATGCCGGTGGATTCCACGTCGGGATAGTCCACAACGACAGTGAGAATATGCCTAGTTAAAACCTTGCTAAGAAAAATTCAATGGGATAAAAATCTTTAGCAAAGGAAAAAGAGTACAATATTCATAGTTAACATACCACCTTTGACCGAGAGGCTTCAAGCCGATCAAGAGCATAACCAGAGCCTCGATGACGATGGATTCCAGGTCGGGAGAGTCCGCAGCGACGGTGAGAACGATGGCGGTTTGGAAGTCGCTAGCGGCAAGTCTGCATTACAAGGTGAGGAGGTCAGAAGGAACGTAGCAGAAGAGCTATCGTTGCCGCTAAACCCGTGTAGGTCGCCGATGTTGGGAGGAATCAATCCGAATCTGTCGGTGTATGTGATGATGGATGTGGGATGGGGGAACGAATCAAATATCTCCTATTGTTATTTAACTACATCTTCTCCAGTATTCTCAACACACATGGAGAGAGAGAAACCCGTGTAGGTCGCCGATGTTGGGAGGAATCAGACCGAATCTGTCGGTGTATGTGATGATGGATGTGTGATGGGGGAACAAATCAAATATCTCCTATTGCTATTTACATCTTCTCCAGTATTCTCAACACACACGGAGAGAGAGAGAGGCAGTGGTTGTGTGATAGATTTGATGAAAGGGTAGAGATTATCGTATTGATAATAAGATCGATGAATAAATGGAATCAACTCAAGAAAATAAATTACAAGATAGAGAGAAAGAGTAAGGGAGAATGCGTCAAAAATTGTATTATTCAGTGTCACCGAATACAAGCCATACCATCTCAATATATAGATGAAGGTGGGGGAAGAGTACAAAATGTCTTCTCATCTTCTAGTCTATTCATTATCTATTGTTATAATACTTAATCTCCCATAAAATATGATAAAGCTTAATAATGTACATTAGTAACATTCTTATGTAGTAATGTCCATTTTGTAACATTATTGTATTTATATATTATTTTCTCATTAAAATAGCATATTTTAAACCTCAAATGCCTTGGGTTTGTGGCCTCCTTCCCTCCAAACAACCAAAAAAAATAAAAAAAAACCTCGAATGCCTTTAAAAAGAAAATCCTCAATTTCAACCTTAAAATATTTAACGGAAAATATATTAATTTTTGCAAATACCAGAGTTTTATTAAAAAAATTAAAAAATTAAAAAAATTAATTATACAAAAAACATTATACATTCAAAAACATTATACATTCCACATATTTTCCTTACAATTTCTTACTTATAATTTTATTTTACCACTGAATCTAAATCAAATCAAAGATTAATAAATAATAATAAATGAAAATCATTAATTTAATTTTCATTTAATAGTAACAAAATAATTATAAGAGACCATAACGAAAAATATATTATTATCTATCTATAATTATATTAATATTTTAAATATCAAACACATTAATCCATAAAAATAACTAATATAATTTAGACTTATAACTTTAAAGAACAAGATAAGGCTTTTGCATTTCCACAATATAATATGATCGAAAAATAAATTTTGATTATTAATAGTGAAAGTTTTAATATGGTTACCTCAATCTAATTTTAGTATTTATGGGTATTAATTTCTACATAACTACATGATCTGGATAATTACATAGGCCCATGAGATTCAAGGCCTAAAAAGGACCCAAGAGGCGCAATGACCTCATAGCGCGAGATGCGTTAGCCAGGCATTGCACAGATTATATTAAGCCGCCTTATTTAACTAAAGGCTAAAGAAAGACTCCGTAACAAGCTGAGTCCCACCGTGCATAAAGACCAACGCAAGGAAGACAGCTCCAGCTTGCCGCCGTTCTAGGAAGACAAACATATAGAATTATAACCAAAAAGGCACCAGTTGAGACAGAAAAGTCTGCAGCTCATAACATCCAATAAGAAGGCATGCCGCCTACCAAAGGCGGCATCAAACTTGCTATAAATACGAATGGTACAAACCAGGTATGATCATCTTATTCCCATTAAATATAAAATAAACCTAGCATTGATACTGACTTGAGATCGGAGTGTCTTTGCAGGTATCCCTAGTCATTTCCATTGCAGAAGCATTCAACAACCTTCACATACACAGTGAACATCTCAAGCCCACGAAGTACAATATATAGCCCAAAGTCTTCATCTTTCAATCGTGTATGATTTAGCCCAATCCATATTCGACTGGTCTGATCAAAATATATGTATATATATATATATATATATATATATGAGGCAGGATATTCTTACACCGATGTAAGAGTTAGAAGTCTTACATCAATCTTGACCAATCAACTTGTATCTAATGACTCACATTATTAAAAAATTTGAGCCCTTAGATATAAGTGAGATTAACAGATAAGATTAAGAGTGTAAGTCACAATGGTGTAAAATGATCCTGACTATATATATATATATATATATATATATATATATATATATATATATATGGTCAGATTCTTTGACACCGGTGTCAAATTTAAAGTTTGACACCTCATCTGAGAGCTTTTAGATAAAAAAAGATCAATGACTCTGATTTTAAGCATGTGATATCATTGACTTTTTTTGATCTAACGGTTCGCAGATTAGATGTCAAACTTTAAATTTGACACCGGTGTCAAATGATCCTACCTCATACATATATATATATATATATATATATATATATATATATATATATATATATATATATAACACATCTTTTATTATTAAAATAAAGGCTTTAATGTTTCTATAGTGAATGTAGATAAGTTATTTACGTTCACTCCCAAAACAATGTCATTTTGGATTTAAAGATTAAAAAATTATAATCAGAAAGACTATTTTAACCCTGAAATAAATTATAATTATAAAAATAGTTTGATTTTCATCCAAACCGTTGTCGTTTTAGGTTCAATGTAAATAACTTATCTGCAGGAAAAATGAACCCTAAAATAAATTACATATGAATCTAGTTAAATAAATTTAACTTACCCTCCATTTAATAAAAGGAAAGATAAAATGAATCATATATTTAATATTCAATTTTAATTATTAATCTCTTTTAGGTCTAACAAAATATAAGTAAGATTAACCATTAATATTAAGGGAAAATTTCATTTTCACCCTTGTGATTTTGTGATTTATCATTTGACCCCCTGTTATTTTAAACTTATCATTTAGACCCATTGTGCTTAAATAATTTATCATTTAACCCCTCGTGATTTCAAATTTTCACTTAGACACCTTGTGGTTAGAAAAATTTTCACTTAAACCCCTTGTGGTTACAAAATAAAAATTTAAAATAAATGTTCTCTTTTTTTTTTTATATACTCACCTAATGCATTTAGGGTTTAAATTTTCTTTTATTTAAAAAATCACTTATTTTTATCAAGATAATAAATTAAAATTAAATATTACTTTATCTTATCTATTTTTTACCCGATATCGTTATAAAATTATCTAAAGAAAGTAAATAGCTTATTTTGATAATATAAATTTAATTTATCTTAAATAATATTTTTTTAATTTCAAATGTATTTTAAAAAAGTTAAGATAATTTATAAATTAATTTCAGAATAAATAACTTGAAATATTTTTTAAACCATAAAAGCATTCATTAAATGAGGATATAAAATAAAAAAGAGAGAAAATTTATTTTAAATATTTATTTTTTAAACCGCAAGTGTTTAAGTGAAATTGTTTGTAACCACAAAAGGTATAAGTGAAAATTTGAAACCACAGGGGGTTGAATGACAAAATATTTCAGCACAGTGGATTTAACTGATAAGTTTAAAATTATAGGGGGTCAAATGATAAATTACAAAATAACAGTGCGTGAAAATAAAGGTTTTCCCTAATATTAAATGGGGAAGGATATTGTAACAACCAAGTTGTGTTACTACCAAGTTACTACCAATCAATCTCACCGTTAGATCGATTATGTTGATCCAACAGTTATAATTATTTCTATCTTTGTATGCTTATGATTTCCCAAATTTAATACGTTATATTTATTTCCAACCTTTGTATGGTTATGATTTCCCATATTTCATGCTTTCACTTTAAATATGGATAATCATAACCATACAAAGATGAGAATAAATATAACCGTTGGATCAATATAATCGATCTAACGGTGAGATTGATTGGTAGTAACATGGTTGTAACACAACTTGGTTGTTACAATATCCTTCTCCATATTAAATATAAAACTTACACCGATTTTTTTTTTTGGTAAATAACTTACACCGATTTCTCTCAATAAAATTTGGGTTTAGTATTTCTCATTTTAAACGATCTAATTTTATATCATTTTGATATTTTTTTTTAAAATTAGGGAAAAAAAGAGAGAGGGAGAGATCATAAATACACATTAAATAATATAATTTTATTAGAAATAAAAAAAATTCTCTCATTTAAAATGACAAATAAAATTCTCACAATAATAAAAAAAGCTCTAAATTTGTTGAGCTTTATCTGAACCTAAAACCCCATAGTGTTGCCACAACACTAGAAGGGGCACTTCAATGGCGGGAGCTACAGGAAGAACCCTCTTCATCCTCTCATTCTCTTCTTCCTTAACACGCTTCTCTCTATCTCATTATCATGTCAAGCGCTTCCCTTTTCTCACACTCTCAAAACCCATCACGCTTTTGCCACGGTTTAGGCCTCTTTGTTCCATAACCGCCGCACCAGAAACCATGGACCCTGACCAGATGAAGCACTCCATGCTCCTCGAGAGGCTCAGAATCAGGCACCTTAAGGAAAGTGCCAAAACCCCAGAAGCCAATAACCCCTCAAAGAAGCGTGCTGCTTCTGCTGTTGAGGCTGAGAATGAAATGATGAAGAAGAATAAGGTTGTTGGGAGTTTTGAGGAATTAGGACTCAGTGATGAGGTTATGGGGGCTGTTAGAGAAATGTGTATTGAAGTTCCCACTGAGATTCAGTGTATTGGTGTCCCTGCTGTGTTGGAAGAGAAGAGTGTGGTTTTAGGGTCTCATACTGGTTCTGGCAAGACCCTTGCTTACTTGCTTCCTCTTGTTCAGGTTCGTTTTCTGCATTGATTTTGAAAAGTGAATTCAAACTTGTAACTTTGTTGTGGCTTATGATGCAGTGTTAATTTCAGAGCAGGAACTTGCATTTTCTGTAGATGTGTTTTTACATGATGGGAGTGGTTTGCATTTTTGCAATTTATGTTTTTCAGTGATACTTCCACGAAGTGGAAATAGTTAAATTTAATTGTTTGATGTGTGAGATGTCATTTTACAGATTGGTCTAACTTGTTTATCATATACTTACTTGTCTTCTACATTACATCATTTTTTTATGTTATTGAGCTTTTTGACTTCATGTTGTGACGAACTTGTCTAGTTATCTATTGGGGGCAGCTGAGTCACTGTTAATTTGTTGCTGTAGTTGCTAAGACGGGATGAACAATTGAGTGGAATACTGTTGAAGGCCAGGCGTCCCCGAGCTGTTGTGTTATGCCCTACAAGGGAGTTGTGTGAGCAGGTGTTTGTGCATTTTACTCATGTTTAAGAGTTCACTTCTGTTATGTTGGATTACACATATTAATGTAAAATGGGCTTTATAGGTTTTCCGAGTTGCAAAATCGATAAGCCATCATGCACGATTCAAGTGTACCATGGTGAGTGGTGGTGGCCGTCTTAGACCTCAGGAGGATTCACTTAATAACCCCGTCGATGTGGTAGTTGGTACCCCTGGAAGGATTCTTCAACATATCGAGGAGGGAAATATGGTATATGGTGGCATCAAATACTTGGTGAGTGTCCCCACAGTTGAAAACTTTAAATAGGCAACAAAGAGCTGCAAGCTGCACTTACTGACTATGGTCTTTGTTTTGCAGGTTCTTGATGAGGCAGACACAATGTTTGATCGGGGATTTGGTCCTGATATACGCAAATTTCTGGGTCCATTAAAACATCGTGCTTCAAAATCTGATTGCCTAGGTTTTCAGACTATCTTGGTAACTGCAACCATGACAAAGGTGTGCTGATTTGCACCATAATCTTGTTGGCCCCATGCAAAGTATATATTAATGTTGTAGATTTTAGAAGATTATTCTGTTAGCAACAGGCCTCCAATTAGGAAAGTGTATGTAAAAATAAGGAAAGGATGCATAGGAAAGTATGTTAGAAGAAATAAGGGTGGGCCTAAAGAGCCAAGTGGGCCAGCCTCTCTTAGTTTGGCCTTGTTAGTTAACCCTCTAACTGGAGTAGCAGAGGTAGGATATAAACAGAGGAAGAGTATGCAAGTGAATTCAGTTGTTGGGGAGTTTGTTTTGGGAGGGAGAGATTGATACGAATCTTGGGAGAGCCTTACCCCAAAAGCTAGCTTGTAAGATAGGAGATCCTTACCCCAAAAACTAGCTTGTAAGGTAGGAGAACCCAAAGTCCATATAAAACCCACACTAAAACCTTATGTTTTCGACGTGGGATAAGTCCCATACCTTACAACTGGATCGTAACTGAGAGTTATACATCTGTATCACGCAGTCTTCTTGATCTCTGCTCTGTATCACACTGATACTAGTCAGAGATTGTCTAGCAACAGAGATTACACTTTTTCATCATTTCTGGTCCAGTTCCATCATATTCTTAAAATAATTACATTCTGTTTCTTTCTTTCTATCTATCTATCTATCTATCTATCTATCTATATATAACCTTTTATCTTGCTGTAGAAGGTTGTTTTATGCATTTCACATGATAAAAGGTTATATATATATATAATATATATATTTTGTGGTTTGTTTTCACTTGGCTGTGCAAAATTTACCTTTAAATGCATAATAAATACAGTAAATTTATATGAATCCAGAACAAAAAGTTATCATGTGAACAATCTTTTTAAAGGTTGATGCTATAGTGGTTTTGTGTTTAAAGGTTGCTCGCTTTCCTTCCAACTCTATTTTCCCTTAATTGACATAAACCTATTGTTTTGAAGTTAAGAATATGTATGCCTCATAGATGTTATGACTATTTCAGCCTTTTTCTTTTTAGAGATGGGAGGCTTTCATTGTCGTATTATAGTTATGTTTTTTCTAATCATGTTTAATGAGAAAATATGACTCTTTAAACCTGACTAGTGAGGGTAGGGGTAAGGGAAATCACTACCATATTTGATATTTGTCTAAAGAGGAGGATGAATGCAGATTTATTTTCCTGGGGACTGCCAGATGAAAAAGTAGAATGCACTTGACAAAAAGGGAACTGCAGAAATTTGCGGAGTTGCAAATTTGTTCATATTTTTTTTTTTGTAATGATCTGATATTAGGTTATTTATCACTGAAACTGAGTTGCTTTATGCTTTTTAAATTTTTGTATTCTATGGAGGATTGATATGGCCTGTGTAATATCAGGATGGGGTTGTGAGAATATGACATCATCTCTTCAGAGTAGTTTCTTGACTGTATTATCAAATCCTATGCCTTTAGTGTAACCTAATATCAGAATGTATAGTGCAGTGGTCTTTGTTCATTTTTCTGAACTCTGTAAATACCTATTATATATGAATCTAATGCCATTTTTTGGGATTAATTTCAGTAATTAAGTTCCACAATGTTGACTTCTTTAAGTCCTGCAGGCTGTGCAAAAGCTGATCGATGAGGAGTTTCAAGGCATTGTACATTTGCGCACATCTACGTTGCATAAAAAGATTTCTTCTGCGCGTCATGATTTTATTAAACTTTCAGGTTCTGAGAACAAACTGGAAGCATTACTTCAGGTATACATCTCCGTGTACACTGTACATGTCAATAATGCATCATATTTACGGGGTTGTGTTGGTGCTGGGATGTGGTGCAGCTCAAGTAGTACCAAGTCTGTTCAGGAATTGAGTGCTGCTCAAGCTACTTGTGATTCAATCTCTTATGATGCTAGTTTTATTACACTTGGGTTTTCTGCTATTAAGATTTTCTTTTCAGACATATACACCTTGGTAACTGTTGCCAATTTTTTTATATTTGTCATAACCACTTGAAAACAGAGGGAATAGGTTGGAAGTGTGTGCACTAATCATATTGCACAAGAATATATTTATACTACCACAGTAGTAATTACAATCCTAATTCCAAGAGTAATAAGCTCCTTTGTTAAAGCAATTTTAGACTGTACTCAGACAAATATTAAGACATTTTCTTACAGCCCACAACAAAAAGAAAATCTTCTAAAATAGATGACAAAAATGCACCTCTTGTCTTGGTGAATAATGCATATGCCACAAAACATTTGGCTTTGCAAAAGGCGTGATGTGACCCTAAATCTGTAGTAGTTGCTGATTCATTAAAGTTATGTTCTTTCACTAACAAGTTTTGGAATATAGAGATTGGAAATATTCTTTATTGGAACTAATGTAGAGTGTTTGTATGGCCTTAATACATTCAATATTCTACTAATGCAGTATTCTTTTCTTAGTTGTGTTCTCACCTTTAGGTTTTCCTTTGGCAAGGGTGTCCAAATTATGATGTTAAGTGACTGGTTTTATGATAAGCAAAATGCAAAAATATTCCGTTTTCATCATCCTAGGAAACATGAACTTTATTTGCAGTTTTTTTTTTTTTATTTCCTGTTTATATTCAACATTTTCATCAGTTTTTGCTGATTTGTTATGAAACTTATGGTGCATTTTTTTCACGTGGAAGTCCACATGCTCATCACTATCAGAGTACTACTTGGATGTTGTTTTGTTTCACTAGGTTTTAATTATGTGTTTTGTGATCTTGTGATGGCAGGTTCTGGAGCCAAGCCTGGCAAAGGGGAACAGGGTGATGGTTTTCTGCAATACATTGAATTCGAGCCGTGCTGTGGATCACTATCTTGGTGAAAATCAGATTTCTACTGTTAACTACCATGGGGAGGTACCAGCAGAGCAAAGGTAATAATCCTTGAGATTCTTTATTTTATCTAGTTCTTTACTTGTTCTGTTGTGGTGCAGTTGTAGTTATACTGTTTGTGTGCTTTGATGAGCTGCCTGGAAATAGCCGTATGGTCAACTGTTGAAATTTTTGGGGTTTGATGGAAAAGAGATAATTGAGACTGAAAATGTAAAATATATTTTAGTAAGAGACTCTCATTTATTGTGTTACAAAACACTGACTTCCCACCTTTTTTATGCTATAACTATGACTATGAAAAGGCAACAATGTCCTATGCTTTGGGAGTACTACAACTAACTGCTAACTTAATCAAGAAGTCTTTCCTAATCACATAATAATAAACCTTGACTAAAGAACTATGACTTCCCTCTCGGCTTGTTACAGATAAGCTCACTTGACTAAAGAACTATCAAACTAAAACATTAAAACTTGTTGTAATGGACTTCACAAACAATGACATGAATAACAATGTAATTGAAGAAAATGGGCACTGCTTTAGACAACACAATGGCTAGACAGCTAGAGTGACGCAGCCTAAGAAAAACACTTCTGGAAAAACACAGCCAAAGTGACACAGCTAGCTAGACTGCTGGAAGGATGCGTGACCAAAAAAACAGGCACCACTGAAAAAACATACAGTCGGAATAGGAAGATGCCATTGGAAATAGACAACATATTTCCCGGTCACATACTCAACAAAGTCCAAAATCCACCAACCAAATAACTTATCCTAATTTATCATTATCATTACAACTAACTTCAAACCACTCCCCATTAAACCCCGACTAGCGGGGGTGGAGTGAGGGCAATCCTTATATGCAGTCTTACTCTTACATGATTGCAAAAAGGCTATTTCCCTGATTTGAAGCGATGACCTTATCATTTTGCTTACTGCTATTTTTTTTCCTTGTGTAAATATCATCAAGATTTTAGATATAATCATCTTGAATATTGAATAACTTACAGCTTTATCATAATTGTGACTTTCCTGACACTCATGTTGATTAATCATGCTAATTGTTGTTTACTGAACTGAACTACCTCATTTGTAATCAATAATAGCTTCTGTCATTTGTAAATAATTAATAAACAAAGAAAATGGAGGAGAGAGGGAGGGGGGGGGGGGGGGGGGGGGGGGGGGAATGATGCAGATCTCACTGAAAGGACATGAATTTTTATGTACATTCGAATTGCATTTGGCAACTTTTGCTGCCAACAACTTCTATGCTCAGATGCTCTGTTTCCTGTTATCCGCACTTATTTCTGATGCTTTTCTTTTAAACCCAGGGTTGAAAACCTCAGAAAGTTTAAGAGTGACGGTGAAGATTGCCCTACATTGGTTTGCACAGACTTGGCAGCTAGGGGTCTGGACATGGATGTAGATCATGTTGTCATGTTTGACTTTCCCCTGAATTCTGTGAGCATCATTTCTTTTATTAATATATTTATTGGATCACCAAGTACAGCCCCCCTTCTTTCTCCTTTTCTTTCTTGATATTAATTGGCTACTCAACCTTACTTTCCTTTTGATTTTAGATTGACTACCTTCACCGCACTGGTAGAACTGCTCGTATGGGTGCAAAAGGTAATAAATTCTTACAATGTGTATCAGTTACATTAAGAAGTATGTTTTTTCTACTGCAATTCGAGATCCCCCCTCTTTTATTTTTTGTTAAAAAGGTAGCAGTAATCAATGTTCTTGCATATACACTTTGCAACCAAACTTTTACTCAAATTATGGTGACCTTGATATTGCTTATAAATTAGAAGATAACAACATTTTACTGTGTCCTCAACGTGAGTACCTGTCTACAGAATTTCTACCTGTAGAATGGAAGATCTAGTTATGTACCAAAAGGAAAAATAAAGAAAAGATATTGATGTGTATCATAGTGAATTCTCAAGTTTCCTAGTATTGTTAAACCAAATCCATGTTGTTTCATGTCTTTTAAGGAATAACATAATATAAAATAATAAAATTGTTTTCACCTAACAAATTTTTGGGTTCAAATGATTTTTTATATGACATCAGAGCATATACAATTCTAGGGGTCTAAAGTTTGATGCCTGGCGCCTGCATTCTTCTAATAAAAAGTTTAATTTCCATGTTTCAAATCTAAAAAAGGGTTCTTGTTGTGGTGGGCCTGAATATTAAAAGAATTTTAAAAATCCATGTTTCAAACCCTAAAAAAAGGGCTCTTGGTGTGGTAAGCCTGTAAATTATTTACGCTTCAATCTACAAGGCTATTGGTGTGTTATGGAATAATATAATATAAAATAATAAGTTTCTTCATCTAACAGTTTGAAATTATATATTCTTAGCAATTGTTACTGCCACAAAATTGCAGTTGTATTAGTAAGAATAAAAATACTCTTTTCTGTTGCAGGGAAAGTAACAAGTTTGGTTGCTAAAAAGGACTTGATGTTGGCCACCAAAATTGAGGAAGCATTAAGGAAGAATGAGAGTTTGGAGGCTATCACTAAAGAAAGTGTCCGAAGGGACATTGCCAGGACCCAAATTACTGGGCCAGGGGGAAACAACAAAAAGTTTGTAAAAGTTTCACAAGTTAAGGACAAATCTGGTGGCCGCGCAAGTGCTAGAAATAGCGGGTCAGATAACAAATATGTTAAAGGATCACCATCAGCAAAAGTTAAAGACAAGTCTGGTGGCCGCACAAGTGCTAGAAATAGCGGGTCAGGTACCAAATATGTTAAAGGATCACCATCAGCAAAATCTATGAAGAAAGGGATTAACGTTTCAAAATCCATAAAATCTTCCAGTGCAAGTAGCTTGAGAAAAGATTCTTCAGAGAATAAGCAAACTGGTAAAAGGGGTGCCACCAAATCCACAAATTCTAAACTCAGTGTTGTGGGGTTTAGGGGGCGGAATTCATCATCAGACAAGAAGCAATCGTCTTTGTGAAGTGGATTGGGATCATATTGTCCCCATTAGTAAGTAATTGGCTCTTGGTTTTGTATTAGATAAGAATTTTTCTGTAGTTTGATGGTATAATAGTTTACATGGTTTTTTGCCATAAATTATAGTGAATAATCCAAGATAATTTTTTTACGAAAAAGGTGCTTTCAAACTAAAGATCCATGCTTATCTTTCCAAAATTAAAGGACATTACTTATATTAAAGATTACAAGAGTTTCATATGGATACAAAAGAGACATACTTGACAAGATTGGAAGGCAAAGTCTTGATTGAAGTTTGTATGTATGCAGCAATCTATTCTCACTAATGAACGCAGGTGAACAAATCTTCTCATGTCTTATCTTAATATGATCATATCATATGATAAAATTCAGCCATTCGTTGATAAATCAACCTTCATGATTTTAATGACCATGTTTGTAAAACAAAAAGAAGAAATGATCATTTAATTGTTAACAATTGATAAATTAATGACTAATTTTTCACATGACATAGATAGAACTCTAGCTTAGTTCTGCTTCTGCAAATTTCCTCCGATCCTTATTTCCAGGTTACTAATGGACGAGAAGTTTTAGCAGGGTTTACTAAATTGCCATTGGAGTCATAAATTATGACGCCAGAAAAATCAGGGAGCTCGCACTTCCCACCCATAAGTATGTTCTTCTGCCAAAGCGAAGGTTCTTCTTCTTGCTGCTCGCTACCACTGGTCACAACTTCATTGTTGAGCTCTATTACAGGCTCTTCTACAAAGGCATTATAGCAAGAGCTCCATTGGCGCCATTTGCGGGAATGAGAAGCACACATTAGCAATGCAATGGCACACAACATAAGGGTCATAACTGCAAGGCCAATATGTGAAGTGCTTGTTAGAGGGTGCAACACTAGGAGTGGACGAGACATTGATTGGAGAGAGAGATATATGATAATGGGATATGTTTGAACTTGAAGTGGGTATATGACTACATATATAATTTATTGTGTGTTGCCATTCTCTAATAGAAAGTGCAGTTGGTGGTTAAGGATTTGTTACAATTTGTGGGGTTTTGGTGTTGAAGAGGGAGAGTGTAGTGGTGTAGTTGAGATATTCTTCTGTCGAAAGAGTGAGTGCTAACCTTATTCACTGAACCCTCGAGATGAAATTTTGGACGAAAAACAAAATATAATACTAAAATTCGGTTTGGGATTAGTTACAAAATATAAAAATAAATGTGGCACCATATTCATTAAGTCTAACTTTCGAATGAAATACGTCCTAAGGACTATTTCTTTTTATTTATATAAAAGCAGTCTGGCCAAAATAGTTTTCGGACGGACAAAGCATTAATGTTGTCCTTTTTTTTTCTTCGCACAATTAATATTTGTAATTTAAAATAATACAGACATATTAGAAGCATAACCCAAAAAAAAAGAACCTTTTTCTCATCAAAGATAAATGATTGACAACATGTTGGAAAAATTCTCAAAAAAAATTAATTCCATAGACATTATTATCTACACCTATCAAGCGCAGATAAGAAACTTTTTAATTGGCAATCAAAAAGTCTTCCAAGTGACATTGCAACATAATAGTTTGGATTTAAAATGATGAGATGACTGAACATATAGTCTGAATCAGGGTGAGCAGAAGTAGCACAATTGCAGCAATGGTAGATGCTATTTTCCAAGGAGTGCTGAAGTACTCATGTACAAAGATTGCCTTGTATTTGTTGCGTGGGTTTTCATAAAATTCATTCAAGCTGCTGCAGAGAGAGAGATACTCTTGATTGAACCTTGGCATGAAAGCATTTTTGCCTAGATTTTTAACCATTGCAGCCACTGACTTAGCATCACCCATGAAATTGACAATAATCTTCTTATCAACTAGTATGTTCACATCTTTCTCTGTATTGATAAGAAAATCTAGGATCTTGAAGTACTGAGAAATGTAGCATGAATGCGAAGAAAGGCGACAATCCTCAAATGCTATTAGATTCCTGATGTATCGTTCTGTACCGTCATGTACAATAAAGGGTGGCATTGCCAACACACCCTCATGATATTTTAAGTCAAGTTCGTATTTGCTTTGGCTGACTTTGAATACCAAACCTGCTTCTAATAATTGGCTTGCACTATATAGATGTCTAACATAACCACGCCCTTCCAATGCTGCTGTTCCAAGAGAAGATGATTGTGGTATCATAGAATTTCTTAGAAGATCAGTGAAGTGTTTTGGACGCCTTCTTTCGGGATCCATGTTCTTGTGGTGGAATTCAGTGAAATAGTCGCAAGTAATCTTAAGAAAGGAGCGACTAGTCATACCAGCAAGTTCGTATATGTTTTCAAGAACAAAGAAAGGAAGCTGATTTTCAAGTAGTATCAAGTCCTCCTCAATATCACTTCGAAACCTTTCTCTTGACCATATAGGGTCTTTTTCCGTCCAATCTTCATCTCCAGAATGTCTAAGAAAAAGCTCAACTATGAAGCAAGCATCAATTAGAATCATCTTTAGGAAATCATTGCTTTCATAGTTAATAGTCTCTGCATAACAATTTCGAATTCCATTTTCCCACTCTTTGAGTTTGAGAACAAAATCCCCCACACATAGCTGGGTTCGAGTTAGAAATGCCAAGAGATATTGCAGTTTGAGTTGTTCCGTTGGAACAAAAATATTGTTACCGCCAGGGCAATGTGGTTTGTGAAAAGGACCAATGGAAACAACTCGAGGAGTATAGGCTTGGGGATTAGTTTGGCGAATTTCTGGTGAAACTATATAAATGCATTCCTCATGGATTCCAGACACGTCGGGAAGAACCACTCCTTCAAGCATATCAGTCAATACTCTCTTTAAATCTTGGTGTCCACTCTGTGAACTATTTGTTTGTCTCGCCATTTACTTAAATTCCTAGCTTGGTGGACTGATATAGACAAACAACGTGAAAGTGATGAAGTACCAATCAAATGCAATTGCAGGTTTAGCATGACATATAATATGACAAGAACATGAGATACAATAGATTTTAAAAATCATAGAGCATGCAAAGTTATAAAATTGATATAATAAAATCAAAGAAACATAAATTTCTAAATTAGAACACCAATCAATTTCCCAAAAGCTAATATTAAATGCTGTAAAATATAATAAAATGATTTTTTATTGGCCTGACCTTTATTGGAATATAAATTCAAAGAAAAAAATTATAAGATGCACAAATTGTTCCTATTCTTAGAACTTGATTTTATTGTTTGTTTTATTTTGTTCGGGGAACTATTAGTCCTATTCTTTTTTTCGTTATCTATATGTTAGCCTATTGTTACTTTTCTTAAAACAAGAATCTGGTCTTCAAATCAACCTAGTTTGATCCTAGTGGGTTAAGGTTTATGTTGGATCGATCTGCGGTCTAGTTGTGTCTATGGCCGCAAATGATGACAAATCATTATGCACAAACAAGATGCTAAAAGCCAAAGAGGATGTATGTTCATAGACGAGAGACTAGAAGCCTATGAAGCACGGATACGCATTTTTGAAAAATTTCTACGTATCGGACACACGTCCGATACGGATACGTTACGATACTCCATTTTTACGTATCTAATGGATGAATGGAATTTCAGTAATTGTTTTAAAAAATAAAGCGGTGTTTTTTTTGGGATAAAAAGAACCCAAATCGTATTAAATCTCAGAATCCAAATCAACACATCCTGACCTACACGCAAGATGCCACAACGTCATTCTTCCTCCTCCGTCGTTGGTTTGTCGTCGCCGTTCCTCCTCCGCCGTCGGCCGTCGCTATTTCTGCTCGGCTCCTCCATGGTTTCGTTGGTAGCTGTTTCTCCTCGATCTTTCTTCCTCCTTGGCTGTCGGTGGGTGGTAGCTGTTCGTTGTGAGACCTCCATCCATCGTCGTTCTTCCTCCATCGTCTCTGCTCAAAAAAGGATCCTCTCACGCATGGAAGGTAAGTGAATGAAGGATAGATATTTTTTTGTCGGTGAAAGCTGTTTGACATCGTCGTTCTTTTATTTGTATTGTATATATATTTTTATTATATTGGCTGAGGATGATATAATAATTGGTTTATTTTTTATATATATTAATTAATATCCATCGACCATCGTCGTTCTTTTATTTCAATTGTATATATATTTGTATATAATTATTTTTTTATATTTGTATATTCTGTTTTTTATACGATTATATTTGTATATAATTATTTTTCTTTTGTTTATATTTTTATATTATATTTGTTTATTCTATTTACATAAATTTATATTGTTATATTTTGTCTATTCTGTATATTTGTATATTGTATATTCTGTTTTTAATTTTTCTTTTTTACATGATTTTGTATTTTGTATTTTTAAATATGATTTTGTTTTGTTAACATAATAGAATGGAGTCAAACATAAATCAAAGTGATAGTTCAATACAATCCAATGCACGAAACGTGGAAATTGAAGTTGAAAACTTGAGCAGACCATTGTGGAATTATGTTACTAAAGTTGAGGATGGAAATGAAGGAGGAGGGAATGTGAGTTGGAAGTGTAACTTTTGCAAACTTGAATATAGAAGTTCATACAGGAGAGTGAAGTATCATTTGTTAAAGATTAAATCTAAAGGGATTGGAATATGTAAGACTGTTAAGGAGGCATCTTTGATGGAAATGGGAAAATTGGAAGAGGAATATTCTGAAAGGGTGAGGAAGAACGCACCGAGATATGTTCCTTTACCACCCACTAGCTTTTCAGTTACATCTAGTACATCTAATAAAAAAAAGAAATGATGAAGGAACTACAAGCATGAGTCCTATTGAGAGGGCTTTCAATATAGGAGAGCAGGAAGAATTAAATCATATTATTGCGCGAATGTTTTATTCTGCTGAATTGCCATTTCATTTGGCAAGGAACCCGTACTTTCAACAAGCATTCACTTATGCTGCAAGTCATAACATTGGAGGTATTTAATGTTATGAAATATTATGTTTCTTTTTATCTCATTTATTTCCTTGTTTTTAACTGTTTTCTGTTGTGACTTCAGATTATCGGCCCCCTGACTATAACTTGTTGCGAACTACTCTTTTACAACAGGAGAAAGATAATGTTGATAGGTTGTGTATCCCTGCTCGATCTCTTTGGAGATCAAACGGTGTGAGTATTGTCAGTGATGGGTGGAGTGATTCCCAAAGGAGGCCAATAATTAATTTCATGGCAGTATGTGATGGTGCAGCCATGTTTTTGAAAAGTGTTGATTGTTCTGGTGATGTCAAGGATAAGTATTTTATCTTCAACTTGCTAAAGGAAGTAATTCAAGAAGTTGAGGTGGATAAGGTGGTTCAAGTAATTACGGATAATGCTGCTAATTGTAAGGGTGCAGGACAACTTATTGAGCAAGAATATCCGACTATCAATTGGACACCATGTGTTGTTCACACGTTGAATTTGGCTTTGAAGAACATTTTTGCAGCCAAAAATGTGGAGAATAATGAGATTACTTATGGAGAATGTAGTTGGATATCTGAAATTGTTGGCCATGTTTCAACAATCAAGACTTTCATCATGACTCATTCTATGAGATTGTCCATGTTTAATGAGTTTGTGCCATTGAAGTTGCTTTCTATTGCTGACACCCGATTTGCTTCCATGATTGTGATGTTAAAGAGGTTCAGGTTGATAAAGGGTGGTCTCCAAAACATGGTCATTTGTGAAAAATGGAGTATTTATAAAAATGATCATCAAGGAAGGGCAAGACTAGTGAAGGAGAAGATATTGGATGATGAGTTCTGGGAAAACATTGATTACATCCTTGCTTTCATTGCTCCTATTTATGATATGATCAGGTTTTGTGATACTGATAAACCTTGTCTTCATTTGGTTTATGATATGTGGGATACGATGATTGAAAAGGTAAAGAATGTAATATGCTTGAAAGAAGGGAGGATGCATGGTGAGTCATCAACATTTTATTATGTGGTGTATAATAATCTTATAGATCGTTGGACCAAAAGTTCAACTCCCCTTCATTGTTTGGCACATGCTTTGCATCCCAAGTAAGTTTTTTATAACTGTAACTTTAGTTTAATAATTCTATTTATTGGAACCATTTTGACACTTGTAATTTCCTTTTTCTTTTTGGTAGATACTACAGTGATCAATGGCTTGCTGAAGATCCAAGTCGAGTTTCTCCAGACAATGATGTGGAGATTAATTTAGAAGTAAAAAAGTTCTTCAGGAGACATTTTTCTAGTGTGGAGGAAAGGGCTACAGTAAATTTGGAGTATATCAACTTTGTTCAAATGAAGGGAGGTTTTAGAGAGTTTGAGGCTATTGAAAATCGATATACAATGAATCCCAATGATTGGTGGGGAGTTCACGGTTGTAGTGCACCTTTGCTTAAAAAGCTGGCTTTGAAACTCACTACACAACCTTCTTCTTCATCATGTGCTGAACGCAATTGGAGTACTTACTCTTTTGTGCATTCCATGAAGAGAAATAAAATGGATCCCAAACGAGCTGAAGACTTAGTTTACATACATAGCAACCTCCGGCTCTTATCAAGAAAGAGTCCAAAATATAATGAAGGAGAAAGTCAGTATTGGGACATTAGTGGTGATGCAGTTGATACCTTTAATGATGTTGGAGCTTTAGATGGTGCTACCCTTTCCTTAGATGAGCCAGAGATGGAGGCAAATATTATTAGTAGCACTTAATATCCACACACTAGTTGAGATATTTATCAATTTTGTATGGATAATTTGCTATTTGTGCCTATGATTTTATTATATTTTGTTAATGTGAAGTACACTATATTAAAAATATTATTTAATACTAAGACGTATCGGAACGTATCGAAATATTAGTATTTTTGAAGTAACGTATCGGACACACGTATCGGGAACGTATCAAAAATGCCGTATCGGTATCGGTGCTTCATAGCTAGAAGCCAAAGAAGGCGTGTGAACAATCATCGTTAAATTTACATATCTCTTTTTACTTTTATGTTCCTTACTAAACCTATTTCTAAGTATGAAAATTAATTACTTATTACTCATCGTTAAATTTCTAACAATCATCACGTGTTCTTTATAAAAGACAGCAACAGAATAGGGCCAAAAGAAGGAGGAACCTGATGGTTGTGAAGGATTAATCTCCAGTAATGTTCAGGCAGCAGAACAGGGACGACAGAACAATGCATCGAACTTCTGCTCCACTCTCAGGCAACAGAACAGGGACGACACTTGCAGACTTGCCGCTTTTATATTCAAACAACCTAGACAGGGCTCGTTCGGACGGGCTTTTTTTTCTTCAAAAATAGTTTTTTTTTTTTTTTTTTGCAAAAAATCATTTTTAATTTGTTTGGATGTCTACTTTCAAAAAAAGTAAAAGTCACAAAAAAAGTCAAAAATTTACTTTTTCAGAAATTAAAAATTTTAACTTCTACAAAAAGTAAAAGTCAAATTCAAAATTCAATCAGTTTTCTATTTGTGCTTTGAATTTAATAGAAGCTGATTGCATTTTGTATTTAATAGGACGCAATCAACTCCTATTAAATACAAAATTTAAATGAAAAACTGATTCTGAATATAATAAGACCCAATGAGCTCTTATTAAATACAAAATTCAAATAAAAAAATGATTGTGAATATTAAATGCAAAACACAATCTCTTGCATTAGTTTCCTTTTTCTGCAAGAAAATCACATAACGTACAATAGAATAGAGATTCTCAAGGTTTTCAATTGATGCACTAACTTGAACTAGTTACAAACCTTGTCTTTCGCTGGCCATTGATAGTACAGATAAAATAATTTTTTTTTATATGAAACATAGATTGAAATTATATTTTCTTAATCACTAGACTAACCTCATTGGGTTCGGCATCAATTTTTTATAATTTTTTTTTATCAAAATAAAATAATTTAATAGGAGCTGATTGCGTTTTAAATTTAATAGGACGTAATCAGCTCTATTAAATACAAAATTCAAACGGAAAACTGATTGTGAATATAATATGATGCAATCAGCTCCTATTAAATACAAATCACAATTAACTCCTATTATATTAAATTCAAATAACCTCCAATACCGTGTTTGTCTCATTCAATCAATGCTTTCACGCTCGTTTGGGATATTTAATCGATTAAATATGAATTTTAATCGATTAAATCAATTAAGAAGAAGATTTAATCGATTAAAATTCATATTTAATCGATTAAATCTTCAAGTCAACAATTTTTTTCCAGTTTTGACCATTTAATCGATTAAATCTTCAACTTAATCAATTAAATAGGGGCAGATTGGTAGATAGTTTTGGATAAGGGGCAAAATAGTTATTAATTAATTAATGAAGGACAAAAGGGTCAAATAGCCCCCATTTGGATGGGCTTTTTCTTTTTTCAAAAATAGCTTCTTCTTTTTTACAAAAAAACACTTCTAATTTTTAGTTAGTTTGGATGTCTACTTTAAAAAAAAGTAGAAGTCACAAAAAAAAGCAAAAAATCTACTTTTTCATAAGCTAAAAATTTTAACTTCTCCAAAAAGCAGAATTCAAAAGCCAAATATTTTTTTTTCAAAAACTAAATATTTTTATAAAAATATAAATAGCTTTAACTTTTATAAAAAATACTTTTAAAATAAAGAAGAGATAAAAGTCACTTTTTTTAGAAGGTGAAACAAACGGGCTCCAAGTCCTTCAAATGGGATAAGTCAGTCAATACTAAAGTCAACACAGAGTAATATTGTAGGAATAAGATTGCTTAGTCTTACGATAGGATCCGGTTCTGTATCTTGCAGGATCCAATTTCGTATCTTTTTTTTTTTTTAAGTATGAGACCTACCCTTGGTTTGTGTGCGCAGATAATATACAGTGCATTTCCTTTTCAGTTTATTATCTCATCATTTTGATTGGTATTGAATAAAGAAAACTAAGAGATATAAAACAAAGAAAAGGAAAAGAAGAAAAATTTAAAAGGGTTATCTATTTCTTTGTTTGGTAAGAGAAAAAAACCAAATGTATCTAAATAAATGTTATATTACCCTAAATAAATGTGGTTTAAATTCTGGAGTTGTTAAGGGATCTTGCCTAATTATCAGAGATAGTGAGGATGAGTTGTGCATGAGAGTGAGGGATAAGTTGTTTTGTGATAATTTCATTACTTATTTTAATCTTAAAAATGTTATTTCACGTGACATCATGAAATGAACAATTTAAAACAGAATTTTGCACATGTGCTATGATTGTGTGTAAACATTATTTTTTTCGTAATTAATCTTTAATATTTTTTAAATAATTTTCTATTTAAGAAAAATTATTTATTTCATAAATGTAGTTCAGTAAAAAGTGTATATCATATAATATAGTTCATTTCATAGTTGGTAGTTTCATTTGAAATTTGAAAAAGAAGAAGAGAGAGTTTAAAACCCCCTTATAGTTTATTTTTAAATCATTTACCCCTTTATGCTTTTTTTAATCACTTACCATCCTATGATTTTTTTTCCCTCCAAGTCCATCCTTAACTCATTACAAATTTGACTAATTTATCTATTTTATCCTTCTTCCTTTTTTTTGTATTATAGGACATTTCCTTTTTATAACACCCGTTCTAGAACTGATTTGTTAACATTACGTATGACATTAAGCGCAGTTACAATCACAGTAATTGAATTAAAATACGGATAAACTTTTTCCTTTTTATTTATAAACATTTTTGTTTAAAATTAATTCCGTAATTAAAACAATTCCAAAAACTGTAATCGTAACCTAAACTACGAGTGGAACACTTAATGTAATTTTATTTAAACCATACGTTGCTACCCCAGTGTGCCAAGTAGTCCCCTTAGACCAGCAAGACTTAAAATTCATTTTTATTGCTATTCACCACTAAACACCTCCACTTTTTATTTACTTAAGAAATTATTATACTACTCTTATGGTCCTTATCTCCTTCTATGTTATAGACTTCTTCGTTAGCTACCCGTGCTCAAATCGGAGCACCGTAGCGAAAGTTATGAATTTTGAAGAAAAATGTGCTGAATTTCGCAGGGTCCCGCGCTGATAGCGTCATAACACTAACTTTTTCACGTCTTACGGCACCGTCAGCACCATCTTGGCATTGATAGTGCTAACCCACTATTTAGTGGTGCCAATAGCGCCTTTTTGGCTCCAAAAGCGCCACAGTTCTGGAGATTCCACTATTCTTTGGTATTTTACCCATAACTTGAGTTATACTTATCCGTTTGACGCAATCTTGGTCTAGTTGGAAAGCTAAAAAAAAATCTATAACTTCCATTAAGATACAAGGGTCCAAACCTATCATATAGGATATGAAAAATGGACAACAAGACATTATATCCTTCTATTTACATTGATTATCAACCCCAAAGGTTTTCTTTCACCTAATAGTCATTATACATTTACTACAAGATATAATCCTTACCATTTTATGACACACATTTATCAAAATAGGCACCCATGGCCTTCTATCATATATACAATTAGCACAATATTACACAATCTCTAAATGTCTTTAATACATAACCATGTGACTTAGCTACAAAACACTATCATCAAATCCTTGGCTCCCATCAACAAAAGAGAAACCAAAGGAGGTGAGCATAGGCTAAGCCCACCAAAATAAAGCATAATGTACACATGTCAAATGGCTTTCAAATGTGAATCCTATACATGGAGACTACTAAATGACATGCATAACCAAAATAATGCAACATCCTCATGTATTAATCTAGTCCAAGTATGCCACTTGCCACCAGAGGCTCCTGCAAAATCTGTACCTGAAAGGGGGGGGGGGGTGAGATATATGAATACATCTCAGTAAACCAGGGGTCCTTGGAGCATTTCTCCACCCCATAGTTCGCTCATAGTATAATAGCGATAACCGTAAATAATACAGTAAATACATATCCGTGCAGTGTGTCAACCATCTCCAAGAGACATCCCTCGAGCTCTCTTGTTGTCCTAAGGATACTCAGATGCAAATAGTCCTACTAGCCAACTAAACTACCAAGTATGAATTACGAGTCGTCATGCAACATACAAAACATAGGGAATCACCATCCTATGCCACACCCAGTGCATACACATATGTATAACAAAGCATTAAACTACTTATTGTATTTACATACACTATCAACAACTACTACCCATTCCGGGCTTGGTGGAACAATAAAGGGTCCCAAGGTCCAAAGGCTTACCTCAATGAGCTTCAAAGCTTAACCTTTGTTCACCACCAATGAACAATCAACCAAGCTTTACAACAATACCAACAATCAATACCTACATCAAGGTACTAGACAATCTATCAAGGCAATCCAATGAATTCCAATATTGTCATCAACCAACAAACCTATTCACAACGCAATGGCATGAACTTACCAATTCAAGTGAGCTAATCAAGCTCCATGGCTTCCTCCAATGAATCCTTCAATGTTGGTCCACAAGGCTTAATCCTATCACCACAAGGGACACAATCAACCATCCAACCAAATTATGGCTTAACAATGCAAGAAACTCCACATGTCCAAGCATGAATTTTTCCAATATATTGAAAAATAATTAAATAACAATCTAAGTCTATTTCTACTGTTTAATTATCATTTCTAACAACATTTACAAATTTATTAGGTCTCAATCAAGCTCAAACTACCCAAACTCAAGCCACATGTTCAATATGGAACCCTAAATGTGCATCACCTCAAAACAACAAGATGAGTTTAAATGCTTACCACAACACAACCACAAAGGTTCAAAGAAGGATAACCAAGTAACAAGGAGGCAATGCTTCACCAGATCCTCTAACTTTAAGATTTTCGCCCCCTTCCATAAGCAATATCTCACTCTACAATGGTTCCCACTCAAAACTAAGTTGAAGTTAAAAAAGACGAGAAGATTTGAAGTAAGATTGACTTTGGAATGAGTTGATTTAGATGAGAAATGAGAAAGTTAAGTTTTGGTATTCAAATGAAATTCTCTCATTCTCACCCTCTGTTGGCCAACGAAGAAGAAGAAGAAGAAATAGAGAGAAAATCATATTTTGCCTCTTAACATAAGGTAAGTCACTTTAATCGGGTAAAAGTTTATCTATCTAGTTAACTTCGTTCTCTTTCAAACTTTACTCAAAAGTCTAAAATATTTTTCTAAGAATATTTTCACTTTTACTTTTATATTATGGGTACTTTTGCTTACACCTATTTTTATCCCATAATTTAAGCGTTATTTGACATTCTCAATAATTATTCTAATTATTCTATATTTATCACAAGTCAATTATGGAATTATTTCATAATCTCATAATTAAACTATTTAAATTCTTAATTTAACGATGCGGGTTCTTACACAATGACACCTCATTTTTGCTCAACCTTTTTTTTCGTTTTGTTTTCTTCAGAAAAACAAAATTTGAAATTAGTTATTGTCTCGCACAGGTTCTGCTGCAACTCTAACTGATAGAACTATTGTTGCAAATTTGAACTATATTTATGGAAGATATATAAAATATGTCAAATGAAGTGTCATTACGTAAATCTTGAAAATTTATATGAAATCAATTTTTTTTTTTATCAAATTTGGATACCCAAGTTAAAAGTTACGGTCTTTCGAAGTTTTACGATAACGGAACTAACGAGGTTGTGTCACTTGATACAATTGTGTGAGTGTCGCGGGGGAGGGGGTTGACACTCAATGTGGCTGGTGTCCCCCACGACACTAAACGATCCATATTCATTAATATCGGGAATCAAATACCAAATTGATACATTAAAGGGGTAAAAACCCCTTTTAGGTCAAAGAGCCCACATACAGCTATTATAAAAAAACAGTCCTCAGGAATTTAATCAAAAAATATAACATTTAACGCGGAATTTTTTTTTTTAAAATTACTTTTCATTTACTACTTTTTATTTTTGAATCTTTAAGAAATACTTCAAAAACACTCGCTAAATTTTTTTAAACAAATCATGAGCATAACAAGAAATATCTAAACCTATCATGAACCTATAAGAAACATTTTAATTGGTAATATAATAGAAAGTGCAGTTGGTGGTTAAGGATTTGTTACAATTTGTGGGGTTTTGGTGTTGAAGAGGGAGAGCGTAGTGGTGTAGTTGAGATATTCTTCTGTCAAAAGAGTGGGCGGTAACCTTATTCACTAAACCCTCGAGATGAATTTTGGAAGAAAAAATAAATATAATACTAAAATTCGGTTTGGGATTAGTTACCAAATATAAAAATAAATGTGGCACCATATTCATTAAGTCTATATTTTTTTATGGGTTCGTTTTTTTTCTGCAGTTACTGCAAATAAGTTATTTGCAGTAAGTCCAATACGACGTCGTTTTCGGCAGAAATCATGATGTTTTTGTAATTTTAATTTATCTTATTATAGTCTTTATAATTGTAATTTTCTAATTTTTCAATCCCAAAACGACGTTGTTTTGAAAGTAAATGCAGACAACTTATCTGCATTAACTGCAACAATATTTTTCTTTATATATATATATATATATATATATATATATATATATATATATATATAGATTCACTTTTTCTGCAGTTACTGCAGATAAGTTATCTGCAGTAAGCCCAATACGACGTCGTTTTCGACGAAAATCATGGTGTTTTTATAATTTTAATTTAGGAAAAACTTCACTTTCACCCATTGTGGTTTGTGTGTGTATCATTTAGCACCCTGTGGTTCAAAAATTATCACTTACATCCATTGTGGTTTCACTATGTGTCATTTAACTCCCTAAATGACTAAAATATCCTCATAAAATAAAATATCAAAAATACTCATATCTGGCTGGAAACTATTACTTGAAATCTCAATCTCTTCCTTAGTCCTTACCACTCACTCACAGTATTGCACTTTCTTTGGACCCGGATTATGCAAGAAACACGTCTAGGACATTTGTTGCTTGCGGTTTAACTGGGAATTTATATTTGAATTCAAAGAAATGGTTCGGCTATCGTGACCAGGTTTGTCAGATTCTTCTCATACTTAAACCGTAAATTCTTAGTTGTTCACTAGTACTCTTGTGTATTATTTTAACTATAAAAATATCCCATGAAAAAAAAAGATTTTGCACTCTGGTGAAGGTCCAATACATTCAGTGAAGTGGAGAACACGTCTTGTTGCTTGGGCAAATGATACATCCCGTGAATTGAAGGCTTTTGTTTAGTTCTTTAAACTGCTGTAATAGCGTTTTATTTGTCTGTCATATTATTTCTTGGTAAGACTGTTGTTGCTTAAGTTTCGTCCTTATTTTACAGGATGACACCCTCTTGGTTATTGGCTGGGGAACAAGCTATTTCATCTCAGGAATTGCCCCCTTTGGTGATGCTTTGGTTGTTCTAGCTTACATTCCTGGAGAAGATGATGGAGAAAGGAAGATAAAGAATCAATGGAAGAAATAGGGGACATTAAAAATTCCAATACTATTTCACTTAAATTAGAGATTCAAGTAATGAAGCTAGTGGGAGAAAGAGAAGTCCAACAACCAAATCTGATGATAGCTGTGTTAAGCAACCATATAGGAAATGATATGAATTTTTTTTGAGGAAAACCAAGTTGTAAAAAATGCTTGACTTGAACAGCCAATATCAAAGTGACATGGACTCCACAAGTTCAAAAACATTAGACTTAAATTGCAGTTTAAGCTTTTGGGAACCATGAAGATAGTTTATTCTTTCTAGTTATGTGAACTTATGCAGTAAAATCATTATCAGAAAAAAAAAATCTGTCTATATAGTATGTATATTTTATTATAATGAAAAAAAAACAATTGATTGTATATATGTACATGTTGCTCATCTACCCGTTACTTGTACGACTCCTCTGCAAAATTAGAATAAAGAAAGGGTATTAGGGTTTTAATTTTAATTAGGGATAATTTTGATATTTTAATTTTAATTGAATATTTTGCTTATTAAGGGTATTTTTGATATTTTGTATTATGAGGGTATTTTAGTCATTCAGGGAGTTAGATGACACATAGTGCAACCACAAGGGATATAAATGATAATTTTTAAATCACAGGGTGCTAAATGATATACAGGCAAACCACAATGGGTGAAAGTAAAGTTTTCCCTTTAATTTATTTCAGGATTATTATAGTTTTTATAATTATAATTTTTTAATGTTTCAATACCAAAACGATGTCATTTTGGAAGAAAATGCAGATAACTTATCTGCATTAACTGCATAAATATGTTTATCATATATATATATATATATATATATATATATATAAATAAATATAAAAGCAGTCTGGCCAAAATAGTTTTCGGACTAGCAAAGCATTAATGTTGTTCTTTTTTTTTTCTAATTTAAAATAATACAGACATATTAGAAGTATAACCCAAAAAAAAGAACCTTTTTTCTCATCAAAGATAAAAGATTGACAAGATGTTGGAAAAATTTTCAAAAAAAATTTAATTCCGTAGACATTAATATCTACACCTATCGAGAGCAGATAAGAAACTTTTTCATTGCCAATCAAAAAGTCTTACAAGTGACATTGCAACATAATAGTTAGGAGTTTAATATCGTACATATTCATTTATCTTTGAAATAATGAGATGACTGAACATATAGTCTGAATCAGGGTGAGCAGAAGTAGCACTGTTATGGACCCATACAATGGGCCTATTAAGTACAAGCTCAACAAGAGGCAATCCAAAAAGCTGATGAGTCAGCACAACTATCCACTTGATGTGTCAGCATAGCTACCCACTTGATGTGTCAGCATAGCTATCTACTATCTACAGGTAACCTCTATAAATACCAGGGCAAATCCTAAAAGGTACACACATTCTCTCTCTCTAATGGTTATGTTGTCACTGTGCACACACACACCCCATTGGCTAAACGCCCTCATTGTATCTTGTGCACAGTGATCTTCCCGACTCAAGGGTATCTCTCTCATAGATACCTTGGAGAGGATATTAGATCCGATACCAACGTACTAGCCTAACTGGGCTAGACATCTCTGTCCCAAGGATAGAACATTGGCGCCGTCTGTGGGGATTCTTTTCTGAATTTGAATCTGAAGTTCCCACCAAATCTGACAAAGGATGGCAATCCAGACAAGGAGCAGCAGCCAGCAGGCACCCCAAAATCAAAATCAGCCGTTGCATCCAGTCATTGAGGAGATAAATCAGCCTCATACTCAGATTGAAAACAACGTGGATTACGATCACATCCAGGTTGAAGACGATGTTTCGGACACCGCTTCCACACCAGCACCCCGAAATAGGGGAAATGCAGCAAATGTAGCTCCATTAAGGAGCAACCCACCCCAGCATCATGGCGATCTGGCTGCACGCATCGCTCTATCGGCCGATCCGGATACTCGGCTGGCCAACAACGCATTAAATGCAATTATGGAACAAATAGCAGCATTGGAAACCCACACAAACTTGCAACGACAACAAGATTTCAGGGTTATCCGAGAAGAAAATAACAGAGGTATGCAAGACCTGGAGCAGCGACTAACACGGCGGAATGCGCCAGGAATGACCAATATTGAAGGCCAGCCTGCCCATAGCCGAGAAGGACCTAGAAACCCGGCTCAATCATACCTAGAAAACCCTGGCAACCTGCTGAACTAGGGGCATCAGGTCACTGATGACCAGGATGCACGAACTCATCAGGCACATACTGACGGTCAGATGGACCGAGTCAGAGCTCAGTATCAACAGGATATTCAACACATCCGAGGACGAATAGAACCCGACGGATATAGGAGGAAATACAGCAGGGGGCAGTATAATAACAGCCCATTCACTACCGAAATACTAAGTGTTGTCTTCCCAGAGGACTTTGACTCGGCACGTTTACCGAAATATGATGGGAGCCAAGATCCGCAGGTGCACATAGATGCCTTTGACACGGATATGTATATTCGGGGAATTGATGAACCTCTCATATCCCGAATATTCGCTGTAACATTGACAGGGGCAGCGCAGGCATGGTTTTCAACCTTGCCTGCTAATTCTATCGGATCCTTCGAGGAGTTTGGACAGAAGTTCTTGCTGAATTTTGCAACCAGCAAGAAGCATCCCAAGTCCGAGTTCGCTCTTGGAAAGATACGACAGCAACCTGGAGAAATCCTCCAGAAATACCTTAACCGGTTCAAGGATGCTACGCTGCAGGTCCCAGGATTACAGGAGAATGTCCACGTCCATCTCATTGTTGCAGGTCTGGACGGCGGATCCAGACTTGCCAAGTCGGTCTATAAGGACCCTGTAAAAACATTGGAGGAGTTTAGAACTCGCTCGAACAAATACCTTGAACTAGAACAAATGGAGATTGCAAATGTGCAATCTGATGAAGTCAACAGAACAAGCCCAAGAAGGAAGAGTCCACCCCCGATGGGAAAAGAACGAATTGACAGTAAGAAGAAAGACCAGCGCCAACGGATCCCGGACATGAGAGAACGCATTGGAAGGTACGATAAGTATACGCCTTTGAATGCGTCGCGCTCTCAAATTTGGAGAGAAGTAGCCACGACGGAGATGAAAAAGGTGGAGAGACCTCGTCCCATATTCGACAGAGGAGGATTAGATAAATCCAAATACTGCGCCTTTCACGATGGGCCAGGTCACACCACTGATCAGTGCTGGGATCTCCGAGACGCGGTGGAAAAGTTTGTGAGAGACGGTAGATTACGTCAGTATGTGATAAAAACTCAAGGTTCCAAGAAGAACAAAAGGAAGCTGGGGAACAGGAACCGAAGCAAAAGCCCTGCTACTGAAAAGAAGAATAGGCAGGATAAGAATCAGAAAAATGATCCCAACTATGATGAATTCCCTGAAGTGGAATTTGATTGTAATGTGATTAGTGGAGCATTGGGAGGTGGAGGAGATACTGTAAGTGCTAGAAGAAAGTACTTGAAGGAGGTACTCTCCATTCGTGATCATCCCAAATTCAAGGAAGACTCAACCAAGCCAGATCCACCTCTATTATACTTTACGAAGGAAGACATGCGCGGGGTGCTGCCCGGTCATGTTGACGGATTGGTAATCGCAGGGACCCTGGTAAACTGCCGGGTCAGGAAGATCTTCGTAGACGCAGGAAGTTGCGCCGACATCATACTCTGGGACGCTTTTAAGAAGATGAACCTGGATGAAGAGGACCTCAAACCTTGCAGAACGACGTTGGTAGCCTTTAACGGAGAACATACGCCTCTTAAAGGTTACATTGATCTCAGATTAACCTAGGAACCAAAGAAGCGTTCAGATCTGAACGAGTTAGGTTCATAGTGGCTGACTTCCCATCAGAATACAACATCATCTTGGGAAGGCCAACCATACATCAATGGGACATGCTGGTTTCTACAAAACATCAGAAGTTAAAAATGGTGAGCGATAAGAATGAAGTAATCACTGTTTGTGGAGATCAGAAGGAATCCAGAGGTTGTTACTTCGGTACTATCAAAGATAACATAGGGGGACGTTCAAGCCCACCCCGAATTCACCCGGGGGATAAAAGCAGTATAAATCTAACTCCTCAACAATCTAAGAAACCAGTCCAAATGGTTGAACTCGACATAAGAGAAGAAGTAATGCCGAGACCTGAACCTGATGGAGAGCTCGAGGATCTAACGCTGGGGGTAGAGCCTGGTCAGTTTACTCGCATTTTTAAGGCCATGGACCCCCAGATTAAGCAAATTTTGGTCGACTTTCTTAAAAGAAACACGGATGTATTTGCATGGAAGTCGTCAGAAATCCCTGGCGTCGACCCCGCGTTCTGTTGTCACAAATTGGCAGCTCATCCGGGGTCCAAGCCAGTTTCGCAGAAGAAAAGGAAACTGGGACCTAAAAGACAACAAATTCTACAGGAACATGTTAAAGAACTCTTGGATGCCGGTTTCATTCGAGAGATACAGTACACAACGTGGCTAGCTAATGTGGTCATGGTGAAAAAATCGAATGGAAAATGGAGAATTTGTACTGATTACACAGATTTAAACAAAGTTTGCCCAAAGGACTCTTATTCTATGCCCAACATAGATCAGCTGGTGGATAATTCGGCTGGATTTCGTCTGTTATCTTTCATGGATGCCTATTCAGGATACGACCAGATCCCGATGTACCCGGTTGATCAAGAAAAAACGGCTTTCATTGCTGAAAATGCCAACTATTGCTACAATGTGATGCCATTTGGGCTTAAAAACTCAGGGGCAACTTACCAGAGAATGATGAATAAGGTCTTTAAAGATCAGCTGGGGAAAAATGTTGAAGTGTATATAGATGATATGATCGTAAAGTCATTTGACATGATGAATCATGTCCGAGACCTTGAGCAAACTTTTCAAAAGCTCAGAAAGTATCGCATCCGTCTCAACCCAGTCAAATGCGCATTTGGGGTCGCAGCTGGAAAATTTCTCGGTTTCATGTTAACCCACAGAGGAATTGAGGCAAACCCAGATAAATGCAAGGCAGTTCTTGACATGATTGTACCTCGAAATAAAAAAGAGGTGCAACAGCTAACCAGACGTTTAGCGGCGCTAACACGGTTCCTTCCGAAATCGGCAGAACATGCCCTCCCATTTTCCAAACTTTTAAAGAAAGAAGCAACTGACGAATGGAACCCGGCGTGCGAAGCCGCATTTGAAAAAATAAAAAAATGTTTATCAACTCCACCGATCCTCTCAAAGCCAAACCCAGGAGATGTTTTAATTCTTTATTTGGCAGTAGGGGAGGAAGCAATAAGTGTTGTGCTGATCAAGGAAACAAACGAAGGCCAGGAGCCGATTTACTTTGTCAGTAGAGCATTACAAGGTGCAGATGTTAGGTATCAAAAGCTAGAAAAAATGGCTTTTGCCCTATTAATCACGGCTAGAAGGTTGCGTCCGTATTTCCAGGGCCATCAAATCATTGTGAGGACTAACCAGCCTATTCGACAGGTGTTGCACAAACCAGACCTGGCAGGAAGAATGACTTCCTGGGCAATAGAACTCAGTGAATACGACATTATTTATGAAAGTCGAAAAGCAATCAAGGCACAAGCTTTAGCTGACTTCATAATGGAATTAACACCACAGAACTCAGAGAATGAGGAACACGGGGATGCTTGGAAGGTCTACGTTGATGGATCGTCCAACATTAAAGGAAGTGGGGCTGGAATCATATTAGAAAGCCCAGAAGGAGTGACCATAGAGCATTCTCTGAACTTGGGATTCCCAACTTCCAATAATCAAGCTGAATTAGAGGCCTTGATAGCTGGTTTAATTCTGGCCAAAGAACACGGCGTTAGGAAAGTACACATGTTCAGCGATTCACAGCTAGTAACCTCGCAGATAGAAGGAAAGTACCAAGCCAAAGGTCCCCTACTGATGAAATACCTGAGCCGGGTCCAGGAAATTATGGCCGACTTTGATGAGGTCCGGGTTTATCACATCCCGCGAGCGGAGAATAGCCGAGCTGATATCTTGTCGAAGTTAGCCAGCACCAAAAATCCAGGGAATCACAGAACTGTGGTGTAGCAAAGCATAACAATGCCGAGCTGTGTGATGATGGTAACCTCTGTAAATGACTGGAGAAAACCCCTGGTTGATTATTTGGAGAAAGGCATACTGCCAGAGGATCGCCTGAAAGCCAGGAAGCTGGTCCGAGATGCGACCTAATATGCGATTGTGAATGACCAGCTATTCAGAAAGGGCTTGCATAATCCCATGCTAAAATGCTTGGACTCGGAGGGAGCCGAGTATGTTCTTGCCGAGATCCATGAAGGGATAAATGAGCACCACATTGGTGGAAAAGCCTTGGCCAAAAAAGTCCTCAGAGCTGGTTATTACTGGCCAACCATGGGGGCAGATTCCCAAGAACATGTCAAGAAGTGTACAGCTGTCAGAAGAACGGTAAGTTGATCCTTTCACCACCGGAAGAACTGAAATCCATCTCGGCCCCGTGGCCCTTCTTCAAATGGGGAATGGATCTACTAGGACCTTTTAAAGCTGCTGAAGGACAACTCAAATGGTTGATTGTGGTTGTGGATTACTTCACAAAGTGGATAGAAGCAGAACCAGAACCAGTCACCACAATCACCTCGACTCGAGTGCAAAGATTCTTTGAAAGAAACATTGTTTCAAGATTCGGAATTCCAGCCGAGGTGGTTACTGATAATGGAACGCAATTTGCTGACAAGAAATTCCAGCAGCTAATGAAAGACCTACACATCACCCATCGTTTCGCGTCCGTGGAGCACCCACAGTCAAATGGGCAGCCCGAAGCGGCCAACAAAGTGATTGTGGAGGGTCTCAGAAAACGAATGTTTGCCGCGAGAGAAAGCTAGGTTCACCAGTTATACTTTGTCCTGTGGGGTTACAGAACTAGTACCCAAACTGCAACTGGAGAAACCCCTTATAGGCTAACGTATGGATGTGAAGCCTTGATCCCGGTGGAGATTGGAGAACCCTCCTGGAGAAGGCTGACCAGTCTTGAGCAAGGCGAACAACAGAACAGTAGAATGCTTATTGAAGAATTAGACCTTATAGATGAAGCTAGGGTCACTGCTCACTGCCGGAATATGATGGCGAAACAACAAACGACAACAAAGACATACTACAGCTAAATCTGCATTCCTCCGCTTAAATATGTCAAAATGCAACTCTTCTTCTACGAAGGGTTTGATAAAGCCAAATATGCCGGCAAGTTCATGTAATTCGTAATTTGATATCAATAAATGAGAAAATTGCAATTTTTCTTGTCTATCTTTGATATATCAATATTAAATCTGAGGTACAAATACAATTTTCCATAATGACTCTAATCAAGTCAAAATGCCACTACTTTGGTCGAAATACCAAACAGTGGCAGTGGCAGATAAATTGAGTTACAAAATGGCTAAGTCAAAAGGCAAAGCCCATTATATATGCAAACTTACCAGAACGAGTAAGTTAAATAAACATGCGTCATCCAATTGACATAAAGCAGAATCCGTACGATGCTTTGACCTCGGCCAGGTCATGAATTAAAAAACTCATATGATGCACGAGTTTACGACAACAAGTTGGGATGAACATTTCACCTAATTACTGAAAATAATGCAACCTTGGTGTATCACTCATCAAGTATGAAGAGGAGGTATATCTCTGTAACTCGGATTGGTTACTCGGCCACTTAGGAAATCCTAATGCCGAGAGCATATCCGGGTTATGGTCACCTCATAAAATTGTCTAAGCAAAAACATTACTGCAATGGCATATTAGATTCTGACAAATAAACTACCTAGATAAATGCATCTATGGTGAATTCAGAATGTAGAAGTGCTAAACAACATATCATAAGGCAAGGCATTCAAACACAAAAATTCAGAATTGTCTAGGAAATAAAATTCAAAACCGGGATAAAACCGGCAGTATTCATGATAAAACCAAAAAGGGACCCAAAGGATCCCAACAAACTACAAATCCAATCGGCATTCCGGCTCTTCATTTCGTCAGGGTGGGGGGATGATCTTTTTGCACCACAACCTCCTTGCCGGATTGATTGGTAGCCTCCTCACCATCCTCGACAGCAGCAAATTTCTCGGATTGAGAAGCCGAAATGAGAGACGGGGAGCCGGTCGCTGGGAGCACAATTTGGCCATCGGCAACATAGGCACGAGGGCTTAGGCCAACCAAGTTCAAAAGCAAATCTGGGTTCAGAATTTGCAGTTGGCTTAGTGCATTATAAAAGGAGCCAGTAATAGACTTTTCAAGTTCACCCCGGTAGAGTTGAGCTTCATCCTGAGCTTCCCTCAACTGGACCCTGGTTTCCTTTAACTTGCCTTGGGCTAACTTCATTTCCCCCTCTGCTTTCTCATATACGATTTTGAAATCACTTAAACTCTTGCTGTTACTGGCATGAAGATATTGAAGCTTCTCATGCTCACGTTGAAGTTGCGTCAAGGAGGTTTTAGCCTTTCCCAAGTCAGATAAACTTTCGGTATATTTCTCCTTCATCAACGAAAAATCCTCTTTCACCTTGATCAACTCGGTAACAGCCTTTGCTTTTTCTTCCCGAGAGGCAGCAGCTTCGTCAAGAGAACGAAGATACTTACGCTTCAGTAAACGTAATGATTTTGTTAACCCAGAAAACTTCAGGCCACTAAGCTCCAACTCGTCCAGTACCTTGATTTCTTCAGTTGTGAAGGGCTTTGCACTGGATAAAGACTCAGGCGGAAGCAATGCTTCTCGGATAGCATCGGAGATCCCGGATTCCCATACGACATGCTT